CACCAAAGCCATCCCATCATCCGACTTTCCCAACCGGGCTCGTGGCTTTCTTCCTCCTCTCACTAAAGCTACGGCTCGAAATCAGCTTCGGGAGACAACACTGCGTCGCCTTGTCTTCTTCTTTCTCAGTGGGCCCACCAAAGTTGGAGGGGGTTCTCTCGCTGCTCGCCCTAGAGTTGGACCTGGAGAAGTAAGGAGTCCCGCTCGATGATTTGGGCCTTCGTGCTAAGCCTGTTGGCTCATGGGGCCCGTTTTGGTGGCTGCTGTTGGGTAATGATGCAGTTTCCTTGTCAGGGGACTCGTTGAAGAGCTCGGAGAGCCTCTTCTTCTTGTCTGGAGGGGATGTGGTGGGGCCCACGGTGAATTGTTGTTGTTCGGTCGAACGAGCGTTGCTTGGTCGTGGGTTGCCCGACGAGAAGTTATGGTGTACGGGTGTATTTCCACGAGACGGGGTGAAATCTGTGAATCATATAGCAATAAATAATCTTTAACGATATATGTTTGGTAAAATTAGCTGATAAGTTAGTTTATAGCTTATAAGTGATTTTCAAGCTTATAGCTTATGACTTACAGGCTTACAGCTGAAAAGCTAGCTTATATGATAAAAGTGTTTGGTAAAATTAGTTGATAAGCTAGCTGAAATAAAAATTTCAACGAGCGCTCGTCCTACCAAACGAAGTTATTTGAATACAGAGAGTTTAGCTAACCAAATAAGCTATCCGGTAAAAATTTTAAGTCCTTTCAAGGATTGACAATTAGATGAATAAATCAATTTTTGTGTTGTGCAACATCATAATGATCATCCAAGAAAAAATAACATTCTATTGACCGAACTAAAACATAGCATGCCAGCTAACGTGAACAAACGACGTTGTAAAAATGATTCTTACCACCGTTAACGCTAAAGAAATCATCCTCACAATCCGACTCTAACCATGGTTGAGAATCAAAGAAGGCTTCATCTTTTCTGCCTGCAAGAAAAATCAAGGCACTTCTCATATCTCTGAACATTGTACACACAAAAAAGGATTGATAAGGTTATATGCTGCCTACCAATTATGAAGCAAAAAATTTCAGTAAATGTTATCTTAAAAGAATATGGAACCCACAAAAGATGTGCAATCATTTAACTACCTAACTTCGTAGGTCTCATATTAAGAGCTCGATCAACTTCTCGTGCTTTAGTAGTTAGAAATTGAAAACGATTAAAAAAAATTTTTAAAGAGCTGCATAGAAATTAATCAATGCATATGGGTTGCTAGGTCCTCGACAGGAACATCAATAAATGCATAAATAAATAAAGGTTTTTCAGAACCAATATATAATTGAACAGCAAAAACATTTTAGAATAGATATTCGGAAATCTCGTGAAAAAACACAACCCATTGGATTTTAAGAAACTAAATGGATCAACATAATGGCTGTGTTTTTACAATTTATATGACCAAAATTATATTAAGAAAAAACAATAAAGAAATAAAATACATAATATGTTGCCATCAGGCCCGTCAGAGGAAGTTCCAATATTTAGGAAGATAGCAACATAACTGTGAACATAAAAACTACAAACTGTGTTCTTGAAAACAGACAGCTAAAACAAATTATTGCAGGCACAATAATTTTATCAATAGCTAAGATGGTCCCCCATGGCAATTGAGTGCTCGTGATAGCAGGATATTTACCCAAAAAAACAATGTAGATATAAACTAGGCATTTTAATCCTATTTTCAATGATAAATGATAATATACAATTAACTTTACAAGTAATTCCCACAACACCAAATGTGCGGACAGTTAGAGGCCACCCCACAAATTATTAAGCATTTTAAGTAACTCCTAATAACAATTCATGTTTCCTCTGATAAATAAAATCAGCAAAATCAAATCAAAGCTCAAAGATAAAACTATCTTTGAAGATTTTTCATTCAAAGATCCCAAAAATAGGTAAAAAAGATTTGCTATTCCAAAATGATGTTCTAATTCTTAATTGATTCCAAAATATATTATTTTTCAACCATCGACTAATCTTCAAATATCCTGCAAGAACTCTTCAAACATTCTTAGAAGATTTCACATGGAGTGCACATATGAAAAAAATATAAAAACCCAAAATATAGATATCTCCAAAAGTAGGACCAAAAGAAATATAAAATCAATCAACTTTACTGGATTCATGACTGCCAAAAAAAAAACAAAAAGTGCATACATACAAAAAATGCACAACTTCTCATATCCCAACCAATATTAAAAATTTGCCTGCTTTTCGCTTTTCAGTACATAATAACACCAAACAACATAAAAATCATAACAGATGCAGCTCAAATCCAACAAAATAATAATTCGAAAAAAAAAAAAATCAATGTTAAAAAATGGACAAATAACTATTACCTGCGTGAACAAATCGAGCCGGCGACAACTGAAGCTTGGGTGCTATTGCTACATCCACCGCCGTACGATCGCCACCGTTGACCAAATCTGCCCGCTCTTTGACCGGCGACGGGGCCAAAACCTTCCCATCCTTCGACTCGATCGAAAACTGGACCTTCACGGCCGACGCCGTGCCTTTGTGCACCGAAGCACACGAACCCATCTCTATAAAAGACAAAAATAAACAAAAAAATCCTGAACACTTAAAAATTAAATTATTTCTCTTTTTCGGCAGATTGAACAGATTTCTACTAGTTACATCAATTTTTTTATGTCCCCTTCTCTTCACACATATATTACGAAAAAAGGTCGGTTTTTTTAGAGAGAGAGAGGGAGTGAAGTAGAAGCGAGAAAGGGGCCGCGTTTATGCGTTACGCTCACTGGTCTAAATATTATGATAAAAAACTAAATGTGGTAAAAGAAAATGAATAAATTTGAGATTTTTTTGAGGGGGTTTTTGAAAGCGAGGCGCACACAAGTTGAATTCTGTGTTGGTGTCAATGGTGTGTGCAGCTGTGATTGGGAAAGAACAAAGGGGTGTGGGTGCCACCGGAAAGAAAGGCGAAATAATTGGGGTGTGTGTCCAGTTTTCGGTTTTCGAATTTTTGCGGTGCGGTTTGATTTTTAACAGAAATCGCACCAATGTTCACCCCTTAATATATACTAGTACAGTACCCGTGCGATGCACGGAATGGTATATTTTCCTGAAATGTTTAACGTGTGAAATATTAAAAATAATATAATTTATATATATGTAATAAAAATAAATGGATTGCAAAGAAGGAAAAAAAATATAAATTATTGAACACTTTCTTTGTGAAGTAAAATTTGTGAAGGTTTGGTATATTTGATTATGAATAGAAAAATATGAAATACTACCTGCGGACCATTGAGATAGATGAGAAGATTTACTGCGGACCGTTGAGATAGATGAGAAGATTTACTTAGAATATATAGAATAAATATTGAGATAATGATTTACCTTTTACCTAGTATAGATAAAATAAATATTGACATGATGTGGGAAAATTATGACGAATTATGACATAAATTCGTTTAGAAAATATTCAAAAATTAGATTTATTTTTTATTTTTTAAATCTTTACAGTAATTCGTACGTTCCTTTTCATACGCTTAATTTATCAATTTTACACATACAAATCAAAATTAGTGCAACTCGAAATATTATATAACAAATAAAATGAGATTTTTATCTAACATTTAGTATATTGCCGGAAATTTTTTTATAAATCTTATTCTCTTTTTATGCACATAGATATTAAATAATGAGTAAAAAAAATATCTAAATATGTTTAAAAGTATCTAATATTATATGTGTTAACAGTGTTACAACCAAAAGACATTAAGAATACGCAGACTATTATATAACATATGTGAAAGTATTAAAATATTTTATATTATTATTGAAAAATGTGAAATTACCTCAATTTTGTCTAGACTATTTTATAAGAAAAATATATATACTTAAAGTTAGCACACACATATATATATATATATCCTTAAAATTTGCCCAACTAACATGTTTAAAAGTATATAAAATTTTATATATAAAATACGTTTAAAGTTTACATATTTTACAAAAATTAGACTGCTCTCAGTTTATATAAAGTTTGTTGCTCTCATATTCGGATAATGTATTATGCATTTAATGAAAGCACCTACGATACAAATTTAGAAATATTAATTAAAATAATTTTATAAATTATATAAAATTGAAATAACAAAGGTAAATATTACCTGTTCATCGTGAAAATGCGTTACAGCTCTCCCGTTCGTAATGGGTTTCAATAATGCGGACTGCTCTCAGACACAAAAAAGGTTTGTTATAAATATTAATTAAACTAATTTTCTAAATTATATAAAATTGAAATAACAAAGGTAAATATTATCTGTTCATCATGAAAATGCGTTACAGCTCTCCCATTCGTGATGGGTTTGAATAATGCGGACTGCTTGGTTTCAATAATGGGGACTGCTCTCAGACGCAAAAAAAGGTTTGTTATAAATATTAATTAAAATAATTTTCTAAATTATATAAAATTGAAATAACAAAGGTAAATATTACCTGTTCATCATGAAAATGCATTACAGCTCTCCGGTTCGTGATGGGTTTCAATAATGCCGACTGCTCTCCCGTTCGTGATGGGTTTCAATAATGCGGACTGCTATCAGACGCAAAAAAGGTTTGTTATGAATATTAATTAAAATAATTTTCTAAATTATATAAAATTGAAATAACAAAGGTAAATATTACCTGTTCAAAAGGTTTGTTATAAATATTAATTAAAATAATTTTTTAAATTATATAAAATTGAAATAACAAAGGTAAATATTACCTGTTCATCATGAAAATGCGTTATAGCTCTCCCGTGGGTTTCAATAATGCGGACTGCTCTCAGACGAAAAAAAGGTTTGTTTCTTTTGTTAACGTACCCCAGTCTGGAAGCATTATATATCAAGTGTACCCCAGCCTGCTCGAGTTTCAATAATGCGGACTGCTCTCAGACGCAAAAAATGTTTGTTATAAATATTAATTAACATAATTTTCTAAATTATATAAAATTGAAATAACAAAGGTAAATATTACCTGTTCATCATTAAAATGCGTTACAACTCTCCTGTTCATGATGGTTTCAATAATGCTTTGTTATAAATATTAATTAAAATAATTTTCTAAATTATATAAAATTGAAATAACAAAGGTAAATATTACCTGTTCATCATGACAATGCGTTACAACTCTCGTGTTCGTGATGGTTTCAATAATGCGGACTGCTCTCAGACGCAAAAAAGGTTTCTTATAAATATTAATTAAAATAATTTTTTAAATTATATAAAATTGAAATAAAAAAGGTAAATATTACCTGTTCATCATGAAAATGCGTTATAGCTCTCCCGTTCGTGATGGGTTTCAATAATGCGGACTGCTCTCAGACGCAAAAAAAGGTTTGTTTCTTTTGTTAACGTACCCAGTCTGGAAGCATTATATATCAAGTTTACCCCAGCCTGGAAGCATTATATTGTATATGCGATGAAAAATTATTCTCTGTATTTTTTTTTTCTCTGAACTCGTGAATGATGAGTTGTAATGGTGGTAGTGAATATCCTTTTATA